AAATTGGACATGGAATTTGAAATAAATTATATATTTGAGTTCGTGATTTTATGGGTAAAGTTTATCTTCAAAAATTTTCGGAATCCGAGCACGTGGGCCCGAGGGTTGACTTTATTGACTTTTCGAACGGAGGTGGAAATTGTTATAAATTGATTAATTATGAGCATTGGAGTATATTTTGATTGATTTTCACTTGTTTGACTAGTTTCGGATTGTTTGGCTTTGAGTCGAGGTGTTAGAGAGGCATTGGAGCCGGTTTTGGAACTTCGGAGCAAGGTAAGTCTCATATCTAACCCTATGAGGGGGAATTTACCTCGTAGGTATTATATTCTTATGTGCTACATGTTGTGGGAGCTATGCACGTATGAGGTAACGAGTGTTCGTGCGTATGCTAGGATTCCTAATTTGTCCGGGTAGACTTAGGTTTACGCCATGCTTGAATTGTACTGTTTGAGTTATCCTTGCATGTTTAATTCCTTTATTTACGACTTGAGACTAGGCTTGTGTAGAGTGATAGACTCGCTATTGTAAGAGATTTGATGAGCTACTTGATTAGCCGCGTAATAATTGTGCTTTCCTTATGAATTTCTCTCGTGTTGTGCGTTTTCATCGAAAAGCTTCTTTAAATTCCATAACTCACACGTATATTCATGAGTGGGGTCAAGGACCCGTTAAAGCTTCTTATTCTTATGGGATCGGGTCATTCACCTCAGCAGGATTATGTATCACACTCTTATGGGATTGGGTCATTCGCCTCGACATGATTATGCACCATACTCTTATGGGATCGGGCCATTCGCCTCGACAATATCATATTTTTATGGGATCGGGTCGTTCGCCTCAGCAGCATCATATTCTAATGGGATCGGGTCATTTGCCTCGATAGCATCGTGCGTAATATTTGACAAGAAACCATCGTATCTGTAAGTTTTCCTGATTTGAGTTGTGACGACCTATCTGGAGGGAACCATTTTACATATTACTCCAGTTGAGGAGGTGACCGATAATTGAGAGCTTGAGTTTACTGTTCAGAGGAGTATTGTACCACGTACCTATATTTGTTTATACTGTTTATTTACCATGCCTCATATTTGTTTACTTCCTATTGTATTTGATTTATTGGACCACTAGTAAGTGTCGATGTCGACCCCTCGTCNTGCATTCCATGCTACGACCTGCAGCATACGGAGTCTTCGTCTTAAATAGTTACATTATCCTGTCTATTTTATACTCAGATAGATGTTGTATTGTTATTGTGCCTTTTAGTAGATACTCATGCACTTGTGACACCGGATTTTGGAGGTTCCTAGTGGATGTTCATTATTGTAATTCATGTTATTATTATCATTTCACCTTGTAATTTATATTTTATATGGGATTTGGTAAAGAAAATCATAGGTTTCTACGAGTACCAAATTTCACTCTATTTATTTAATGGGATTTATGATTTTAAAAATAATGAAATGAGTAATTAAGTTGATAATTCACTGTTGGCTTACCTAACGGCGACGTTGGGCGCCATCACGACCTATAGTGAATTTTGAGTCGTGGCATAGAGCATGTAAGAGTAGATTAATAATGAGAGATATGACATGTTATGACAATTCAATTAAAGGCATGGAAAGAGTCTAGATAATCTACACCGGTCAAATACCACATATAGGCCGTGTACCCACTCGTCACCTTGCATACACGGCTTTCATATAACACAAATAACACAATCAACCCAAATCCTAAGGGATAGTTTCCCCCACACAGAGTTAGGCAAGATACTTACCTCAACTAGGCCAACTCAACCCTCCAAAAATAGCTTTGCCCCTAAAATTTGCCTTCACACATCTCAAATCTAACCAACAAAAGATTTAATAACATCAAACAATGTAAGAGAAATCAATTACAATAAATAAAGCTATGATTTTTACATTCTTTTCCAAAAAGTCAACAAAAGTCAATGTCGGGCCCGCCTTGAATTCTGAATCCAAGCTTACCCGAGCGAAGCCCGAACCAATACAAGCTCACATGAATGAAAATCGACTCAATCGGAGTTTGATAGCTCAACCAATTCGCCAAAACATCGCTATTGGGTGTTCATAATCCAAGAGTCCAACCCAAACTAGTTGGGTCCCATATCTCCCAAAATACTCCTCCAAAACTCGCCAAATTCGAGTATGTTATTCTCCTATTATAGGAGAACAAAACCCCAAAAAGAATCGGAAAATAAATGACTCTAACTCATTTTCAATTTTTAAAATTTAAGACAAAACCATAGGTCTTGATTTAAAGAATTAAATGAGTTTTCAATTAAAATCATGGATTAAAGCTTAAATCAGGGGAATAAATCAAAGAAAAATACTTAGATTATGGTTTAGACCTTACCCCATGGAAGAAACTTGAAGAACATCCTTGAATTCTCCCAATCCCAAACTTTTAAGATGAGAAAAACTCCAACAATATTAACAGCCAAAAACGTCCAGTTGTTCTGCCTCATTTCTTATGCCAAACAATCCCGAAACTCGCTTTTGATACCTTCAATGGATTCCTCGTGAAATTCCTGTCAAGTTAGAATTTTGAATCACTCCATTTAACCTTATAATGAAGGAGATATGTTGGTTTCAATATTTGAAAATAGTGCAGATTAAAAAATACGAATTCAGTGGCAATATCGTAATTAATATGAAATATCTGGCAACCCGATTCTTAGTAAAATGACCATAAATTCCTCATATGATGTCGAAACTTGATGATTTCAGTTGCTATGATTCCAAAATTACGATACAGATATAATGGTTTAGTGGAAATACGAATCAAAGGTCGTTTGTTCAATAATCATCATACAACCCAAACTTATCCAAAACTCATCGGAATTTAACCAAAATTTGTGGACATGTCCAAAATAATCATACAAACTTATTGAAATAATTAAAATCTGATTCCGAGTCCGTTTACCCAAAAGTCAAACCTTGGTAAACTCTTCCAACTTAAAGTTTCTAAAACGAGAACCATTCTTCCAAATCTTTTCCGAATCACTCGAAATCCAAAACCAACCATACATGCAAGTCATAATACATAATATGAAACTACTTAAAGTCTCAAACCACCGAATGGAATGCTAAAGCTCAAAATAATCGGTCGGGTCTTTACACAGTCCTTGAGCCACTAACATCACAAAAGCGATAAGATTATCGCAAATGCGAATATTGGGCAATCCGCAAATGCGAGAATAGTTTCACAAATGCGAAAATGCCCCCTAAGCACAATGTCGCAAATGCGACTGTATCACCGCAAATACGAGCCCACTCCTTTCCGCATTTACGATGCCAACTTCGCAAATACGAAGTGGCAACCCCAGCCCGGTCTTAGCAAATACGAGACATCACTCGCAAAAGCGATGCTCGCATTTACGAGAAGAACCTCGCAAATACGAGATCTGCATGTTCAACACATCAGTAACCTATTAAGTTAAAAGATCAGTCCGCTAAGCATTCAAAACTCATCTGAGCTCCTTGGGCTCCAAACTGATTAAGTATAGCCTTCGAAAAAAAAAAGAAAAAACAGATTGCAATTCATAACTTTGGACCACTCGTCCAGTGGAATTATTGACAAAAGGAGGACTTAGCATAAGTTGAGGAGATCAACCTAAAGTTTAAGAAAACTCCATTCTATTAGTGAATATTAAGTTTGGTTAGATTTTGGCCCATTAAACTTTGGAAGTGCCTATTTCGTCACTTATATTAATTATAGAAACACGGGGTTAATTGATTTTAAATTTCTTTCCAAAAATAATTTTCCTAACGAGGTTATAAAAAGACTAGCATAGTTGATTAGAGTATACACCGTATGTGCATCATAGTTTGAAATTAATCTAATTTGTTGAGTCCATTCAAATTAGCCAAATAATTTAAGAATTCTTCTAGAGGTCTTTCATGTATACTTTAAAGTTGGCTTACATCTTCGCATTTTCAATTATAAAAAGCTAAGGCTACTATGCAGAAATTTGAGCGCCAGATGAGCCGCCATCTTTGAAAGTTAGCTAGATTCATTCCTATGGTCTTTCCGTTGATGTAATTTCATTTGATAGTAAGTTCTTACAATAGAAGAAAAAAATAGAGTTTAATTTACAGTATAAATAATTGTTACATTATCAAATCAATTAAAGATTACCTGTAAATAGCTTTTGACCTTTATTGTTAGTTTGTATAAGCAGTGGCGGACCCAAGTGGTGGCTAGCGGGTTCAACTGAACCCGTTTTACAAAAAAATAATACTGTGTATATGTATAAATTAGGATTAAAGCTGTTTAAATTTTGTATAAATATTTTATTTGAACTCACTTAACAACTAATATTTTACGACTAAATTTATATACTTCTAAAATTGAACGCGCTTGCACAAAGGGTCTTCCGCTGTGTATGAGTACTACAAACACTAATATAGGAGTAGTTGACTTGTCAATTAATGCAATCCCGTCTGGATTCTCCGCTTCAAAGTCCATTTTTAGACCAAAGAAAGACACGGTTTTTTTAATTAAACACCCCTTGGCATATTGTAAAAGAAAACGTTGGAGTAGTGTTTACCAAGTCCGGTCAAACAACTTAAATTTCCAACTGCTTTTAGTACTTGTGGGGTCGTTTGGCACGAGGTATAAGAAGGTATAGTATTGTGCTGGTATAAAAATTTAATACCACCTTAATATTTTGTTTGGTTAGCAAACCTAGTATAAGTTATCTCGGGATTAAAATTAGTACCGGAATAACTTATATCTTGTAAAGGATGGAGTAATTAGTACCGGGATAACTTATATCTTCTTTTTAGAAATTATGCATTGTCATTTTTAATACAACATACCAAACAATGGATAAAAACAATATCAGAATAATTAATCCCAACATAATTTATCTCGGCATAAGCCGTATTCAAACCAAACTACCCCTGAGTCTTTGCTGTTTAGATCGAGGACCTCTATGAGACAATGCACGTACATAGTTTGTATAAATATATATATATAAGTAGTGCAGCGACCTCGATAATATCTAGTAAAGGAAAAATGAGGTTCGTTGGCTTGGTGTTCCTAGTTGGTGCGCTGGCCATTATAGCTGCAGAATGCAACTCTGAAGGTTAAGTATCAAATCAAATAATTAAACCCTTTTCTATTTCCTTTACCCTCAAACATATTTATTAATTAGTAGTATCAAAAAATGCGAGCCACAAACATTTTGATATGCTTTTTCTCCTATTGTTCTTGTGTATGTAATGAGCAGGGGATGCTCTTAATGCATTCAAAGTTAACGTGGTAGACCCAAACAATGTTCTTCAGAGCTGGGACCCGACGTTAATCAATCCTTGCACATGGTTTCATGTCACCTGCAACGGCGAAAATACTGTTGTAAGAGTGTAAGTCACCATTTAACTAATCTCTTTTGACGGATCTAGCTAGAGTTAGGTTCGGTTGATTGATCAATAGAATTTGTTCGCACCACACATATATATATCTTGATTTCATCTGTACTGTAGTCGGATTTATATATATGTTATTTTCTTGTTCATATTGACATTAATTTTGATATACCAATGAAGGGACCTAGGTGCTGCTAATCTTACCGGGACACTGGTACCTCAGTTGGGAATGCTAGCCAATCTTCAATACTTGTAAGATCAATTAATGATTTGTCTTTTTGCTGAAACAAATAATAATGCAATTTCAGATGTAACTATTTTTCCTGTTTAATACACGGGCAGGCAACTTGAAAATAATTCATTTAGCGGAGCAATCCCAAGCCAATTAGGCAACTTGACAAGGCTAGTGAGTTTGGGATTAGACAATAACAAGCTGAGTGGCCCTATCCCATCATCTCTTGGCAATTTAATATCTTTGCGATGGATGTAAGTCATTTGCCCAATCATTGCTTGTTCCATTTTTTCTTCAAAAAAAAGGCCCCTAACTAAGGAAAAGACTGTAGTATAATTTGGTGTAATATTTGCAGGAGATTGAACGGTAATAAATTATCAGGGAAAATTCCAATCTCAGTCTTGAAGCTCATCTACTGGGGAAATTTGCAGCTACTGTGAGTTTCACAGCTGCTACATATTGTTTTAATTTAGTTTCCAGTACTAGCTACTAACTAACCGAACTGCGGACAATAGGAATTCTATAAGATATTCTTTCTTTGAACAGGAATGTTTCAGACAATAAACTAGCAGGGACTGTCCATCGTGCTAACCAAACAGGTATAAATAAAGAGCTAATTGTACATTTTTTGAGATTAAAACTAATGGTTTATGTAACTTGGAAATGAGAGGGTGTTATTATCTTATGTAGGATTTGCAATTACAACAATTGTTCAAGACGTCAAGGCCTAGATCAGGTTACTTGATCAACGTTTGGAATTGGATTGTCCTGCAAAGTTGCATTTCTATATTAGACTGTGTCAAGTCAAGTCAAGTCAAGATTTTAGATCTATGATTTTCAATAATCAAAATGTGATTGGAATACTTGAGAAGAATAATAATCTGTAATAATAATGATTACATTACTCGTATTGTATTGAATGAATTTCCAAAAGATTTCAGTGGCTTTTTGTGTCTTGTATTTGACTTGATTGATTGGCTTAACCTTTCTTCTTCTACAAAACGAAATTCCCAAAGTCTTAACTGTCAACCGGGGCGCAATTACGCCGAAACTACTTATATCTATATTTGCCTCATTTCAGAGCTAACTAGAGAAAGAAACGTTTACTACTGGCCTAATTTACAGCTATTCATGTTGCCAGGGTAATTTTTTAAACTGAAATTTGAAGCTTCAAATATGGCTGTTTGCCCAATTTACTTGTCAATGATCTGAAAATGACCTACCATTGAGTATAGTTAATTAGTAGTAGTGCTATAAGTTATATCATATGCTAAAGATTTTGATCCAAAAAAAGAAATAGAAAAAAGGAAACAAAGAAAAGACAGGTTGCACATAGATCTTGTAGGACTTTGGCTTGGGTAAATATTGACATATACTGTGTGCAGAATTCGAGATTTTTATGTTGAAGGGCATGGCCAAGAAAGATGCAGGGGCATCACCTTTTTAGAAAACGCTTACAAGGTTTGAATCTCTGCTGGTTAAAACAAATATTAAACGTCTGCAAGTGGACAGTGCATCCATCAACTTCACTAATTACTTGTAAAGTTGTAATTTATGTACTTTGTTTTTACAATTAAAATGATCACTGAGTTTTGTAATTTAAGCACTTAATGCTTTGGTATATAAGTGCGATTCTGAAACTATGTTGCAAAAACAAAAAAAAAGGTTTTAAACTTCCGTTATAGAAATTCCGAAATATTGCTTCTTCAATGAGCTTCAACTAACAATAAAAAAAAATAGACACAAACGATATCTCATTCATACAAAAATGATTCGATATCATCGTAGAACAAACACCCAAAATAAGATATGATCAAAACAAGCTCATCTTGTGTGCAGGGGCAGATCTATAATATCGGATATGGGTTCCCGGTAACCTAATAACTTTTACCCGAACCTTGTATTTGTATCGAGAAATCTGTTAAATGTATAATTATTTTTAGCTTGGACCCCATAAGTAAAACCAGCTTCTGATCCAGGGGCAAACGGAGGAACCAACTTAAGGTGTATTCTTGAATATGTGGCGAGAGTTCGAATCCTGATCCGCTTCTGCGTCTGTGTGTGCATGTGTGTGTTTTTTCTATTCAAGCATTCACATTAACCTACAGACCTGAGATCAGGTTACAGTGTTGATGGCAAACAAACACGCTGTTCAAAGCTGGAAGAAAGAATAAGAGAGAAGAAGAAAGTTTTTGGTTTAGAAATTCCTCTAACTCAAGCAATCTAATGTGCCATTTATACTACTAAAATAACCTTTTACTCCTAAATAATCTGTAACTAACTTCTAACCAAGTAATTAATTGAGTTACAACACCCCTAAAATATCTTCAGCTCTACAAGCACATCTTGTACTTCAAGCTGCACAATTTGTACTTTCAACACATGCAACGAAATAGAACTACTTCCTCAAACTTCTAGATGTTAGGGAATCACCATATCTCATGATAAATACTACAGAAACTTATAACAACAATGTGAATCTACAACTATCTTATTGATGCATAATTTTATATCAGCATCTTCCTCCTGAAGTGAGCATTAAACCGATCTATTTATTTTCAATATGCTTGAACAGCTCACTTGTGTTACTTTAAGCTCCGTACAAAGTGAGTCTGAAATGTTCTAGTTCTCTCACAAAAGTTATTAGCATATGTCAGTTGAATTGCAACTATCCACGAACTACCAAGAAGTAAACGAAAATGCATTATTAACATGGACTTTGATATTCTCCACATTTTGTACTCCTTTTCTTCCTCAGGATAGGTTACTTTTGGGATATTTACAGAAAGATTTTAATATAGAACTATCTAAGCCACTTGTTGTGATCTCATAGAAGCTTTAAATAGTTACAAGGTGAAGAAGCCTGCATCTAATGGGAAAAGCAAAATAGATATACTTACGGCAAAAACAAAAATGCCACTATATGTCAGAAGCAATACAAGACTCAATTGCTGTACACATTAGGATACCCTAGCAAAATGTTGCCTTTCACCCTAACTGAGTTGCACTGATAGAACAATTAAGCTCCTCTGGAAAGTCAGAAAAATACTGGCGGCTCGCGTAGTTACACCTTTAATTTGACTAGCTAGTTTGGAGGCTATGAAGCAGGGGGAGAATGCTGGATGTTCCCGAAGGCTATTGGCGTTAAAGGAGGTGAAGCCATATCTTCCAGTGGCTTAGAAACATGGAAAGCTATTTCTATCTGACCCCTAGATGGTATGGAGTAACTACGAGGAAGGGCTGGAGGTGTTGGTAGTGTAGAAGCAGTTGAAGACACTGTCACTTTATTTGTGGAAGAAAGTTCCTGGACTTTTGACACCAAAGGTCCTGAATGAGCAATCTGACGTGGGGGTCTTTTGGAGGCTAAATTAGCTGGTGGTCTAGGTAGTTCATGTAACTCACTTATTTTAGGTGATGACATGAGAGGAGGAGAAGTACGTGAAGATAATTTAGGGGCCGATGAAGGTTCAGGCGTTGAAGTATGCAAGAAAGGCAGAGAAAAATGCTGAGGGTATCCAGTTGAAGCAATTGGACTACCAGCAGAAACAACAGGCTTCTTTGGCCACGGCTTCGCGGTCAAAGGACCAGAAAAAGCTTGTCTCTTGACCTTTTTAGCATTGGACCAATNGATGAGAGGCCTTCTGGCAGTGGAGGGGGCAACGGACCAGATTTTGCATAATTGTTGCTCTCTGTGAGAACTGATTGTGTATTCGAGGTGATAGGTCCAGATAACTTCTCATCTGCCACAAGCTTTTCATGTTTGAACTGATCCAAAGGGGACGAATGCCATGAGTGAAGTACACTAGCNCATGCAAGAAAGGCAGAGAAAAATGCTGAGGGTATCCAGTTGAAGCAATTGGACTACCAGCAGAAACAACAGGCTTCTTTGGCCACGGCTTCGCTGTCAAAGGACCAGAAAAAGCTTGTCTCTTGACCTTTTTAGCATTCGACCAATCATGCTGCAAAGATGAGAGGCCTTCTGGCAGTGGAGGGGGCAACGGACCAGATTTTGCATAATTGTTGCTCTCTGTGAGAACTGATTGTGTATTCGAGGTGATAGGTCCAGATAACTTCTCATCTGCCACAAGCTTTTCATGTTTGAACTGATCCAAAGGGGACGAATGCCATGAGTGAAGTACACTAGCAGTCTGGCCAGTTCGCCTTGTTTGAGGGTGTACGCTATATGATTTTACTGAATCTGTAGTTTTTGCCTCAACTGGTGTGGGTAAAACATACGGTTGAAACTTGTTTGAGAGTGACGAAGTCATTCGTGTGGCACCCCCCTCAGAAGGATCTTGTTTCCTCCCAGACAAAAGTGGTGCTGACTTGGTGCTGTTAACATCTCTAAAGAAGGAAAAAGAGTTTCCACCATGACTCTTATTGAGATTTTCCTATAAAAACCCACAGAAGAAATATTATTAATCTCCAGAAAGTGACAGGTTGGCTTCAGCAATCTCATACGAGAGGAGAAACCATAATAAATCAAATTGAGAAAGACAGAATTCGTCATTTGTTTTTTATCAAAAAGATGAAGGCCCCAATTCATTTTTTGATAAAGACGAAAGAGAATAGATTGATGCAGAGCTCCAAGAAAGGATATGATCTGATAAAGAAGGTCAGTGAAGATAAAGTATAGTACCATTGATGCACCCTTTGTAGCAGTTTCAGGAACTGTAACATCCACTTTATCCAACTGCATAAACGTCATGTTGTCAACAACCACTTCATCATTGAAAGTATTGCACGGTGCATGTATCATTATAGTAACTAAATGTAAAATAAATGATTCAACGAGGATAGTATACAAGCAGATGATACAAACAATGAACTACTGTATAGAATCAAAAATAGTCTTAATTCATCGCATCAACACCAGTGTCTTTGAGGTTTAATCCTGGTATGGCTTCAATTGATGAGTAACGTACATAAGAGGCTCTCCACAAAATGATTTCAAGATATGATTGAGAGCTAGCAACAAGAATCAAATATTCTACATGACGAATAATTATTGGTTGTTTCCAACCTCACTACCTCCATCCCATTCCAAAAAATGTATAATCTACTCTTGGAATTTTATTTATTTATTAAAAAATGCAATACTGCATCAATATCACTACAGAACACTAATTTCTTAAACTAAAATATTATTTGAAAACCCTTTAAAAGTTTACAATCAAATGGAATGTTATTGAAGATCAAAATTCAAATAAGGTTTAACAAAATGTGATGGGGGTAATCTATCCAGACAGAAACCAACAAGATTTCTTCCTCCTATGGATCTTAAAATTACTTATGATACGGCAATTAATATTATCACTCACCTGCAAGGGTATAATCAATTTTCTCCAACTCTCAGACAGACATGTACACAGATCATCCACAGTTCATAACTAACACTATTAAAATAATGAGAACAATTTCATGAAGTTCCACATCAATTGCAAAAAAGGACAAAAACATACCTCCATTGAATGGGTTGAAGGATTAACCTGGTCATTCTGCCCATAGTCAAAACTCAGTTCACCGTCATCAAGTGACTCGGATACGTCATCAGAGTCATCGTCGTAATCATTTTCATCATCATCATCATCATTGCCAACATCATCTCCATCATCTTCTTCAAGCCCATGGAAGTGATAATCAATATGATGCAGTTCCGTCACCAATTTGACATGTGGCTCAATCACCTCAAGAGACTTGACGGCTTTCTTGAAGAAAGACAACTGATTAAACAAACAAGCCAAAGCTCATGAACAACCACCCTAAATAAGGGGCAAGCATATGCTTTGATTCACTATGAAACCCAAGGGATTTCATTAACATCAAAGGAAAAAAGAACCTGAGCAGCATGGTGTCGAGCTGCCTGTGTTAAAAGGCTGCGGGATTGTCCTTGCTTGAGGGACTTCATACGGAATACAAAAACAGTGGCCCCCTCATCGTATTCTTCATAAGCTGCTTGCAGCTGGTGAGATGAAATACATTCTCCTTTAGTGCCTTTTGTCCTGCCTTTATCTCTGTATTTTTGCACCATCTGCTCATAAACTTCTCTGAAGAAGAAGAGAGAGTGAGAAGACACTCACATAGAGAAAAGCTAAACATAAGATTAAAAGTGATCTAGTTTTACCTCTTGTTATCACATTGCAGCTTCATCTCCTTCACAAAGAGGGGAAAAAACATCAGCAGTCAAAGTTCGGAAGACTTTTAAGCATAAGAAAAATGCAACAATATCTATTCAACAGATAAATTATGTTTCTAATTGTGAAAGCCTAATCCCAGTAGTTACTATCTACCATCAAAGGGAAGACAAAATGATAATTTAGCCTTGTGAGTTTTGGTAATCATCAGACTCCCTAGTCTTCATATTGCAGAAAGCATGTATCCAGAGTAGAAGTCTGTATAAGTAGCAAGAGTTTTGCATTTTGTTTTCATCTAGTAAAATAAAATTTCCATAAAACAGGTACCCGAAGTCAGACAAGCAAAAGTACCAAGACAATGGGAGGTGCGGCAAACTAGAAACAAAGCACCATAAACTTTTTCCTTTTCTAAGAGAACACTGAAGTCTAGAAAAATCCAGATAGAAGCATAAGAAGAATAATACATTGTCAGCCAATAACACAATCTGCAGGTGTAGCCCATAGCTAGAGTTGCTTTATCCAAATGACTAACCTCAACTATGCGCAGTTCATTGAGAAGGGATTCTGAGGGGACTGCGATTGTCCTGATAATATGTGACCGCTGATAAGAGAACACAAATACTCATCAAAATAGGGTACTTTCAAGAACTTTAAAAAATCAATTCAACTTAAGCACTCACATAGTTATCTACAAGTCTCTGAAGCTGAAACTGCATTTTACCCAGCATTAGCAATACCTTACCTGTTCATATGAAACAAGCTCAATTTTAACAATCCAAATAGAAAAAAGAAAAAAGAAAGAGGGGGAGGTGTTAAGGAGAATTGCAGCTGATCTCTTAGCAAGGCAGTATAAAGCTAAAGTAACAGTATAATGAGTTCTAACAATCCAAAGATGTGCACATTATGATTTAAGAACAAAAGAAACAACAATTAACAAAATCTATTTTTTTTGATTTGGTAACTAACAACAACAATCCAGTATAATCCCACTAGTGGGGTCTGAGGAGGGTAGTGTGTATGCAGACCTTACCCATACCCTGGGGTAGAGAGGTTGTTTCCGATAGACCCCCGGCTCCCTCCCTCCAAGAACTCCCCACCTTGCTCTTGGGGTGACTCGAACTCACGACCTCTTGGTTGGAAGTGGAGGGTGCTCACCACTAGAGCAACCCACTCTTGTAACTAACAAGATCAGCTATCATGCAATGAGGACCTTCAACAGAGCGGACATCATAGAACTTTAGTTTTGAGGTATTTTATTTGATAACTATTTATTAATGTTGTAGATCTAATTCAAATAAGTAAGAGTCCCCTGTCCAATAGTTTATGCTTTAGATTAGGCGATTTAACAATTCAACATGGTACTGATGCATGCAACAACTCTAGGTTCAGCAACATCCATAATAAAGAGATACATCAATTGTTCAACGTGCTTGGCCTAAGGAAAAGAATTACAACCACATGTGAAGAATTGTATTCATAACATAAATAAATAAAAGTGTTCTCTCTATAACAGCTTAAAACTTAGTTGAGTTATCCTTGTAAAATAATATTAGTTGAGTTGGTCATACAATTGATCAATAAACATAATAATTCTTCATACTCACCGCTTTCTTCATCATCATTCAATGCTGTTTTCTCAAGAAGACAATCGCCCATTTCTCGCAATGATTCGGAAAATTCTGAAAATAGACTATCTCAATTAAATACAATTTAACCAAAAAGTTATTCAAATCCAACTGGTAAGAAACAAATTGAAAGCCGAGGATAATCCTTGCTAATTAATAATAAACACATCTGCATGCGCACTAAGCTACAATAAGCATGGATATTACGTTAAACCAGTAAAGTTCCATGTGTAAAACACATTATAATATTAATGTGATAACTGATGGAAGTACACAGAAACTGAGCTTCTTAAGCTAATTTGTTTTCTTTTGACAGCCCAAAGAATAAAATATGCATTCAAGCTTGCAAGTATAATCCGTTTTTTGAAAAGTTCAACCAAGCAAGATTAAAATTAGATTGGTTTGATGGATAAAACGACATTTAGTTAGGCTTCCCTTTGCTAAGTTATTTCATAATTTTTCAGGGCCTGCACGTCCTTGCAGTAACTTATTAGCCATTCGCGTCTTCAATTTCTTATATGTAATCCTTTTGCTTCTTTATATGATTCATCAAAGCCTGTGTCAACTAATAACTCCTTTTTTTATAAGTAACTTTGTTAACCAATAACTATTTTCTAATTTGGCTGAATGAGTTGCAATAACACTTCAAGGAGCGCCGAAACGGAAGATGAGGTCACCAATGTGTTCCACTGGAGCTAAATGCTTGAACTTATCACAGATGCAAAATGAAACATACGTCTCTGCTTGGAGTACTTTATGTTTACAGCGGCTATATCTAGGTCATATAAAGAGGTGAAAAAGAGTTAGGCATAAGTATGCTTCTAGACCATCAATTATTCCCAAAATTTCTGTTTAGTTCTCCTGATTTCACAAAGTTAACAGACTTTTTAACAACAAAAGTGAACACACCTGTTATGCTAAGTGTAGGTTATATTGATACTTATACTCCACTTAGCCCAACACATGGGTAGTCACAAGATTTAACAGTTAAAATATCACCAAGTTTGTGGGAATTCGTGATTGGTGAGATCAAAAGCATACATTTCTATCAGTTGAATGTTAATTTTGTCTAGTCAATCCATTAACAAACTGAGCTTAGTCAAACATCACAAGGACCAGAATTGGAATTTGTCAAATGTGAGGAACCAAAAGTACAACTATCCCAAACAGCTACGAGAAGTACCAAAGAGAACATCATTATTAACAAGCAAGAACATTGACCAACTTTATTCAGTTTAAAAGAGTCATAATATAGATCAATCACGTAAGGGGAGAAATTCTCAAAGGCCTCTTATCAAAAAGGAAGGGCAGGGACCATTGTCATGTTATATGACCACCACAATGTTTAAAGATAATGTACAAATGATGGAAATATGCACGCTGACATAGACAACAACATCATAGTTAAGTGGAGACGGGTAGAGGGTGGGCCCATTATCCACCAAGTTTCGGACTATGTGCCAACTAGCTATTTCGGGGATTTCTCGATTATCAAAAACAAATATGAAAATATTCATAAAAGGTACTACAAGCTGAAGCTACTTCAAGAAGATAATTCAGATACTATCTGATAGTAAAGTTACTCCAAAAGATAACACGCACTAGTCAGAAGCTGGAGGGAGGAAAATGGCGATAAATTACCATATGCACCATTTGCAGTTGCAGCAGCTGCAGAAAGTAACCTATCGTAGCAATCTTTCATTTCTTCCATATCCTAAGAGAAGAAAGCAGCTGTTAAAGACCAAACTGTAATAAATTTTAACCAGAAAATTTGACAAGATACTTCTCATAGCTCTCAAGTCTCATCTATAGATAAATAAAGTGAAGATATTTGATAAATAAGTGAAGATTAGGACTGGGGGTTACGACATCAAATATTTATAGTTGATTCCCGAGTCAATGACCTACAAACAGAGCTGGCATTTTGAAGGCGACCCCAAGTGGTAGAGAATGAAGGTTATACTTACATCCCACCATTCACTACAACATACAATATTTTCTTAGTGTCTGCTAAAAGCCTAAAACAATTCGCAACATTGCGGCATGTGATGAACAATTGAACATTAATTCGTTACTTCTTGAGGGTTAACTATGAGAATAGGACCTACACATGCCCAAGTTTACACTCCCTCAGATTACTGCACTAAGAACCTTCTTTTAAGCTAGACTAGTAACACATACCGGGGCTCAAAATTAATTATTTTAATGCAAAGGTATTAGTATGTTATCTTTTATTCGTAGATTGTTATTACTACCTAGCGTATAATTGTTATCTTGGCTTCGGTCTTCTCCTTTTATCTTGTTGTTGTTACTACTTACTGCCTTCACTTCCTTTCATCCTTGCTTTAGCCGAGGGTCTATCGGAAATAGCCTCTCTGCCCTTCTAAGGTAGGGGTAAGGCTGCGTACATCTTATCCTCCCCAAACCCCACTTGTGGGAATTCACTAGGTTTGTTGTTGTTGTTGTTGTAATGCAAACAAAACGTAACATTCTTTTATGTTAGCAGGGTCTCCCATATTCTTATATGTATATAATAACCTACAAGAGAAGATTACTACTACAAGAACGACAATTTGTTCATAGAAAATATTATGAAGAAGCAAAGTCACGACAGACATTTTTAATAACATTGGTGTCAGGGCTAACCTCAGCAAACCTTGACTAATCCACGGGTACCTACTGCTTCCTACCAACATGGGTACCCGTCTACCCTGTAACTCTCTACACTAAGATAGGTAAATGGGAAGAATGCACTTCGTTTCGAAACAAACGTTTCCTTATAGCACAAATCTAAATCTAAATTGTGAAGTTCGTGTTCCAAATAACGTCTCAATTAGAACAAAATACCTTAGCACATCATCAATTAATCAACGTTCTGATAACAAACCAATCAATTAATCAACTGCAACTGACTTCCAAACTAGTTGGAGTCCGTTATATATAAATCTTCGATATTCGAGTTGGCTAGAGTTACCCGGTACCTATACTTGTTCGATAGCAGATAGCAGGTACCTACGGAATAGTCGAGGTATCCTCAAACTGCTCCGACACAACCATCATAAAAAAAATCCTCCAAATTCATTCATTTCTGTTCGAACCCACATCATTTAACAAGAAAACTAATGGGGTTAACTGTATTAATCCTTATTTTTCATTTTTTTCAATGCATCTGGGATTTATTAACCAAAATCAATAATCAATTAAGGAAAAATAAATACATAAAGAAATAAAGGGGAAAAAACCTGAGTAGCCAAAGCGAGCTCGTCAGATGGCTGGCGAAGCCTCCGTTCTTTTTTATCATGTCGAAGATTAGCCAATCCTCTTAATTTCTTCAGCGATGTCTTCATATTTTTTCTCGATCTATTGATTGATACAGAGAAAACCAAGTGTTGTGGAACCAAATAATATTAACATGTAGATGCAAAAAGGAAAGACGTGTTGAATAATATACTGGGAAATTGTTGTGAAAATGAAAAAACCTAAATGGGAGAGAGACGGAGAGAGAGCGTGTCACAAATTGGTCAAAATCAACAATGAACGACTTCTTTTTGTAAGTATATGGTTTTTGTGGTTTACGTCAAAGCGGTTTTGGAAAATTTTGAATATGATCTGAATATCACTCTCCTTTTTTTTTTTTAATATTAAATTAATATTTTATAACATTGATGTTCAAATTAAATTTATTCTTTTGGATATTTGCCATATTATATTAATAATGTAGGTATTGGTAACTTTATTCACCAAAAATGCTTTCTTTGTTTTTTTATTTTTTTATATATATGACAATAAATGACAACAAAAAAATTGGACTTTTGAGACATAAAAATATAGGTAAAGTATCAGAATTATTTTAATTATTAATAATTACTCACTCCGTCCTATTTTATGTGATGCAATCAAACCGAACACGAAATTTAAAAAAAATAAGAATACTCTTAAAATTTATTGTCTAAAGCAAAACATAAGTATTAGTGCGAATAGATCATTTCATTAAGAGTAAAATAAAAAAATTAAAGTAAAATTATTTTCAATATATAAATTGAGACACATTGAGTAATATGAAAGCGGTAAAAGTTTGTATGTCACTTCAAAATTCTGTCTTTTAGATAAATCAGTTTCTGTCTTTTTCTAATACTACTAGAAATAGGTTTCTGTGTTTGATATTTAAAACACACAGAGAATAGAGTATAATGATTAATTTTGTAAGAGAGAACAACCAAGAAGGTTGACTGATCCTTTTATGGTCAATGGTCCATTAATGAGTTTGGTTTCCAATTGGTTTCTTGCTTTTTAAGGTCTTTCTTTTACTCCTTTTCTTTATTTAAAAAAACTTTGTAATGTCTTGACCAGTCCAACTTTTCTAGGAAACAAAAAATAATGTGGAGTTTAAGAAATTCAAACGTAATTAGTGGGGTTGACAATTCGGGAAGCAATGACTAATAGATGTGCCTTATGCATATATATAATAATATAGATGGAAATTATGAAGGAATCCAATTAAGTTGTCATAAGTAAGCGTTTATTAAATTCAAAGTTATACTACTATAATTTGAATTTCCTGAAAAGTACTGCGTAATTTGGATCTCTTGAAAAGTGTTGCAATGTTCGAGATTGCCGGTACAAAATTGAACTTAAGTTTTATTTTTAGATGAAAGAGTAGGAAGTATTCTTTAGGAAGCGATATTATAATAATTTCTTTTCATCCGTCTGAATTTTGGTAAAAATTTTTTAATATATGTTCAGTGTAATGACGCTCACTACTATAATAATAAAATAAAAAGAAAAGCACGGAAGTATTCCTTGATTATTTTAGAGTTGTTTTTTGGTAGCGTTACTATTTAATCATTATTGACCCTTCAATTACATTCTTCTCCTTATTTCTCTTTGAGAATTTTTGGGGCATTTATTTACTCAGAGTTCATTATTAAGTAAAACCAAAACCACCACCTGAAGCCTCCGCTCCTCTCATTTGCCAATAAACCTTCCTGCTAGTCCACGGAAAACTTGCTGTACCCTCAACCACATTGTATCTGCATCTTCTTAAATGATACAAATTCTGGTTTCTCTTTTTACTTAAATATTTTTTAAGAATCTTTGAAACCAAACAAAAATGCTATACAAGTCATGATGTCGACTAATTATTGCGGTATTCCTAAATAAAGGGGAAGAAAACGATAGTCTACTTTATATAATTAAAGGTTTACACTCTAACTCATTAAATAACTCAAAGTTTAACAACCATGATTCGGTACTTTACCAATCAAAGTAATATCTTAACAAAACTCCAACTACCACTTTTGATTCTTTATCTACTGCCAAAACAAAACAAGCAAAGTGGAGGGGTTGTTAATTTTACTATGTTTTATTTTATATGGTAATATTTAATTAGATACCGGGTTCAAAAAGGAAAGAAAGAACTTTAGCATATATCAAAAGTACTTTTAAAACTTGTAATATTAAATATGTCACAACTCACAATATTTTTTATGGATGTATAGTATGTTATTACTAGTAAATGAAAAATTTAAGGTTAAACGATTTTAAATAATAGAAAGAAGTCATTGTCTTAATAATGGAATAAAAAAAGAATGACACATAAAATGAAACAGGTGAACTAACAGATTTCGAATAAATTGACATTTATCTATCTATATTTTATACTTAAAGTAGGAAACTCTTAAGTAAAAGGTTGAATTACCAAAATACCCTTCTTAAATTCTTAATTACCCTATTTATAGAAAATAAAAATGTAATAGTAATAGTAATATTTTTAAGAAGAAAAAAGTAATTGAAGTGTCCTTTCTAAGAAGTTGTGACTTATTAATAAGTAACTAAATATCTTTTTAAGCATATTCAACTGTTGCTTACTTGTTAAAATCTTAAGAGGAAAAGCCTGATGATTTCCGACAAATATGTATGAAAATGGAGCACAAGTAGAGAAAAAGAAAAAAGATATTATCTTTTGGTTTTAACCTAATTACATTCTAAATAACCTGACAAGAGTGGGTTGCTTTAGTGCTAAGCACCCTCCACTTCCAACCAAAAGATTGTGAGTTCGAGTCACCCCAAGAGCAAGGTGGGAGTTCTTGGAGGGAGGTAGCCGAGGATCTATTGGAAACAGTTTGTTGTTGTTGTACATTCTAAATAACCTAAATATCCTACTTAAATATAATAAAAATATTATTTAATAATAATATATTTTAATTAATAAAGAAAACGGGAAAGAAGAAAACTATGTATTGTGCCTTTTACTAAACGTTGTGTCTATTCTAAATTTGTACTTCTTCACTAATATAACTCTTCATTTAATTAATTTATGTTTCAATCTTTGGAGCCACACCCATGGTAAGTTTCTCAGAAACAGCCAAAGAACAAAACAAGTCATTTTTCTTATTGCCGCCTATTCTTCTATCACATGGGGATTCCACCGAATCCTCTATATGAGGTGCATCCCCTCTTCATCTTATTAGTAGCATTTTTTTTTACTTCTGAAACTAATGAATTTTTGTCCACTTTTGCTAAATTGGTTGAAAATTTGTGCGTATTTTACTTAGCTTTATCATGTGCGTGTTAGTCTAAGAAAACTTGCACTAACTTGAATTTTTTCTTTGGTCAATACAATAACTTGATCATATCTATTGAGTATTAATTTCATTGATGGTCATTCAACTATCTTTCAATTTCACTAAAGTCACTCAACTATTTTTTGTCATTAAAAGTAACTAAACTTTATCATTGTCACTTAAAAGTCATTTTTGGTTCAAACCCCTACCACAAAATATGACATGTCATAAAATTTAAAGAGAAAAATTCAAAAATAAATGTCACATAAGCTTAAATGGACCATACCCACTTTAGATCTATTTCTCCCTTAATGTGATTTGACCCATAATCCAAATAGTTTCGATAAAAAAAAAATTATTCCACATTAGTTTAAAATAATTATCCTATACTACAAAATTCTTGTCTTTTCTGTTACATAATCCCCATTTATATTTATTTTATACTAAAATATTCTTCTCTTGTTTGTATGCCCCATCCGAGTCGTTTTATATCTCTACTGAAGTTAAAATACTATTGTATCTAACTCACATAACATATTTATAATTTTCTAGTGAAGTTAAAATTGTATTGTATTCATCTCACATAACATTTTAATGTATCATAAGCATACAAGAATAATAAGGCTAATAAGAATCTATTTTCACAAACTATCATTCTATTAATTTCAAAATATTGCTTATTAAGCAACACCATCATACAAATAACCTGCTTAGTAAGCAACACATGTAAAGTGCATAACAAAAATTATCAATGGACATGCAATTATAGACAACCTATTGCAATTGCTTAAACAAAAGAAAGACTATATCTGTACGATCAAACCTCCCCCTCCCCCTCCCCCCAAAAAAAAAAAAATTACAAGACCTAATTTTATAAGGGGTGTGCGCTTTTCTCCCTATTGAAATCCATTAAGGGAGAAATGAATTTAGTGGGTATGACCCATTTAAGCTTATGTGATTTTTATTTTTGGATTTTTCTCATTAAATTATATTTATGGTAGGGTTTGAGCCAAAATGACTTTTAAGTAATAATGATAAAGTTTAATTATTTTTAAGTGACAAAAAATAATTAAGTGATTTTAGTAAAATTAAAAAATAGTTGAATGACAGTAAAATTAACTCTATCTATTTAGGGCGGTGGAAGAGGATGCCGACATCTAATTGGACACTCCATCTTTATGTCAATCCATCTTTGCAAACAAGCCAAGTGAAAAAAATGATCACAATGTGTCACCTGAACATGAGTAAGCCAATACTAACTATGCATGCCATTTTATTTTACAATTAAAATCACATTATAATAGGAATTCGAAATTAAGCGAAACTTTCTTTGTCACTATATATAGTACCACACAATATTTTGCAATTGAGTAAGATCAATAATAGTAGTCATGTAAATAAAACAGCCATTTGCATGATTTTCATCCTGACCAAACCACATTAAATAATTAAGTTTATATTAGATATGTAATGTCAAAATTCAATTATTTTTTATACTTTCAGCAAATAATATTTTTGAGAGATTTAACTGACAAAGTAGTAGCAAACCGGACATGGAATGAACTACCAAAATCCAAGATAGTATTGCAAAAGAAGAATTGATGCCTACAATTCCATAAAAATACACAAGCAAATGGACCAATATAATTCGTATCAGACTCTATACGCATGAAATTGCGAGGGCAGCTAAAGACATATAGTGGAATGGCTAGGCGATTTATGCTCACCTCCAAGATATAATGAGGGTGCAACAGTTTTCTCGAGCCACGAATGATATTAATTACAATTGAGGTATTCAAAAAGAGGGTAAAAGAAGAAGAAGAATAGGGCGCAAAAAAGAGAGCGAGATGAAGAGTACTAGATGTAAATGCTTCGACGTTGTTTTAGGAAATCTTTATCTTCATTTTTTTCCCTAGAAAATCGTTATCTTCTACCGAGTCAATTTTTTTTTGGTTAACGGGA